GATCATGACCTGAGTCAAAGTCGGATGCTTAACCAACTAAGCCATCTAGGTGCCCCTTCTTTTTTTTTTTTTAAGTTTATTTTTATTTATTTTGAGACAGGGCAAGTGGAGGAGGGGTGGAGAGAAAGGAAGACAGAATCCCAAGCGGGCTCTGCGCTCTCAGCACAGAGCCTGATGCCCGGCTTGAACTCACAAACCATGAAGTTATGGCCTGAGCCAAAATCACAAGTTGGACACTTACCGACTGAGCCACCCAGGCACCCCAAACCAGCTTTTCTAACAGTCTCCCTGCTCCTTAGAGAAATGGGTGCTTGTCCTTCCATGTCCCCTTGGCTTCCTGCCCACCATTTCTTCTGATTCCTTTCCTGGGATGCTGATCACAGGCATTGTTGGCCTGAGATTGGTCGCACAGATGCCATTCCCGGAGCCACATGTTTGCCATCAGTAGCCCTCTGCTGAGAACCCGTGGACACCTGTCCCTCGTCCCCACATCCCAGCCTCCTGTCATCGAGGCGTCTGTGTCCCTGGCTGCCCTCTAGCCGTCCGTAGCCACCCCAGCTCCACTGAACCCCCCAAAAGAGACACCCCTCAGGCTGTGTACGCCAGGGGCCCCGCCCTTCAGAACGCCTGGGGAAGACTGCCCTCCGAGCCCAGTGCGTGAACTGCCAGGCAGGGCAGCTGGAAGCGTTTACCCAGGGATTGACCCGTCTTGAGGGGAGCTGGTCTTTCTGCAGCAAGAGAGCAGGGAAGCCTGGTGAGCCGCTTTCTCGCTCCCAGCCTTTGAACTGCCTGCCACTTTTAGCACCCTCTCCATCCTGGTCCCTCGGCTGGCCTTTGGCTGCGAGCCTTTCTGTTTCTTCTTGGGGGGTCCCATTTGTTGAGAAGACGGGGATACTTGTGCTCTGTGCCATATCCCTCTGCCTTTCCCTTCGGTTGTTTTCAGGAACAGAAATGATACCATCCCAGTAGGGTAGCCTCCTGGTGGCCATGCCTATCCTGTGTGCCTCCCCCCCTTACCCCTTGCCCTGCCTCCCCACCCCCCTCCTCCTAGCAACAGAGTCTAAAAATACTCTCTTTCCACTGAAGGGGTTTTTTTTTTCCACCAAAGAAAGTGAGCTGACTGGGGAGGAGGAGGGGGCCGGAGCTGCTGGAGGTGTTGTGTTCTTGGAAGGTGTCAGAGACCCGGCGGCCGGACCTTTGGCCAGATTCTGTATGGACTGGCAGCTCTCTGGAGACCCTGTCACCGGGAGTAGGAGGTCTGATCTGGGGGCATAAGCAGAACATGGCAGAAGCGAAGAACAGACCCCATCGTGTAAATGAGCAGTCGTTCATTGATCTGAAAGTTGATGATTTAAAACTGTGTTAAAATTTGAGCGATTTAGAAGCAAGTCGGGTACGGTTTGTGTTGGTATAAGGCCTCTGTCTGGGGTCTGGTGTACGATCCCAAGGAGCGAAGGAGAGGAAAGCATGAAATTCTCTTTTCTCTCCTACCTAGACCTTCCCCTGGGTCTTTCGATCCCCTAACATTGTAGGCACAGGCCCGAAAAGGGAGAATTCCATAAAGAGCAGTGAGGTGGTCACTCTGTTGTTAGCCAGCCAGTCCCTGTGACAGGGACCCCTCAGAGTGCCAGCACTGCCGTGTCACTTTGCTTTCCTATAGGGCAGCCTGCCAGCACCACCCCTGTGGCTCCTTGGCTTTAGGTTGGGGACCCAGAGTAGACCAGACTTCCTGAGGTTTTCCACCTCTCCCCTAGAGCAGAGTCTGAAATCTCAGCTGGGTCAATCGTGTAGAGAGGCTCCTGTGTTGTGTCACTGTCACCTCAGAATGTGGACAGCCTCTCTGGCCATCTTCCTGTGTTCTCTGATGGAGCTTGGTAACTGTGAGTACGAAATTCAATCTGACTTGACAAATGACGTCTGACTGCCTTCTCTGCAAGGGCGAGACTCGGTGTGTGCCTTCAAACGTCTGACCTAGTGGAGAGAAGACAGGAGCACAGGTATTTGGGCATTGTCCCCGGAAGACGAGAGAGGCATGTAGCGTCTCTGGGTTTCTCCTGGTTCTGTGTTTCCACCTACGACTCTTCCTTTAAAGGTGCCCCTGCCCTGTTCCCGTTGGCATCAGAATCTTGTTCAGGAGAGAATGCTGCCAGGAACGTATGTGCTGTTAGTGGCCACCTCAGCCACACTGCACAGGGGTCTCATACAGGGGTTGAAACAGTGGCAGGTGGGAAGCGAGTAGCTTAGCCAAGACTGCTTGGTTGCAGATAACAAATTCTGATTCCAGCTGGCCTAGGCAAAGAGGAGGGTCTGTCAGGACAAGGTAGGGCTTCCCAGAACCCTGGGTGTGACTGGACCTGGGAAGGGACAGAAGGGATCAGAAAAGCCCACCAGTCCTCTCGTCCGTACCTCTCAGCACACTGGTCTCAACGTCCCACATATAAGCTAGCTCTTGCTCCCTGGTCCCCGCTGGGCACATGGCTGCGCACATCTAGAGTGGACAGTGTCACCTACCCAAGAAGAGCAGCCCAGCTCTCCCCAAGCCCGGGGCCTAGCTCCTGGGTGCAGGGGAAGCTGACTGGCCCAACTTGGGGTGTGTGTTTCCCTCTTGGTGCCACAGAATTCATAGTACTGGAGAAAGGGGGCCTGTTGAGTCGCCGTTTGGGCAGGTGCCCCAAGAACTGTCCCCCGTCTGGAGAGCACAGTGATGGTTCTTTAATTTCCATTCTTCCTATCTTGGAGTTGGCTGAGGTGGAGAACAAGATAACTGACAAGCCGTCCCCTGGAACTGTTGGTCCTCCCGTTGAAATCGAGGCAGGAAGTGGCAGCAGGAAGGACCATCATGCTTTTTTCTCCCTGGCCTCCCGCCACAGACTGTAAACCTGGCCTTAGACCCTTAACGAACATGCTAGCTGCATTTTGAAGCTAGAGTCGCAGGACTCAGCTGGATTTTGAGTCAGGTGGCAGCAGCCAAAGCAGCTGGTGGAGAATGGGGCTCTGGGGCACTCCCTGGGGGGGCAGGCCTCAGGGGTGCTGCTCTCCAGCTGGTGCTCCGATGGGCCTCCGCAGGCACCATGGGCCCCACTCAGAATCCAGGAGGAAGTGTCGGCCGAGAGGGGCTGTCCTCAAGCGGGCATTAAATCCCTGAGTGTGCACATTCGATAAATGGATCAAGGAAGCCAGGCTGACAGTAATGTTTGTGGTGAGATGTATCAGTCGTAATGAGCAAGGCTTTTTGGAAACTGACCTTTTAACTTCAAGTGGGTCTGGTGGTTAGAGATAGAGTTTCTGGGGCTGCCTCAGGATTGGTTGGAACGCAGTGCTAGAGCCAGGGAGGCAGGGAAATGCTTGTGACAACAGCAGAATTGGCAACAGAACCGTGGGCGCGAGACGCCGCACCGCCTCTTCTGGGTACGTATAGGGTGACGGGACCGTTTTGAAGAGCTGGGCTTCGTTTTGGGGGAGCCCTTTGGAGATGCTGCTTTTTTTTTTTTTTTTTTTTTTTTTTTTTTTTTTTTTTTTGATCCTGTAACTTCCAAAGAACCAAATATTTAAATTCTTTTTTGAGTGTCATGAATCAATGATCGGTGTCTACTGGGATGTTCGTTCTTTGCTCTCTGTGTTGTGTTTTCAGCGAAGGGGCTCTTGTGGCCGTGCTTTCCAATGGCTTCTCCGATGTGGGCGCGTGGGTGTTGCCACGGTGGGCAGCTCCGGGCTCGCCCTCCCCTGAGCCTCTGCCACCTCCCCTTTCCGGCCAGGCGAGGTGGTCTCCGCTTTTGCGCTCTCTGATCCACTGAGGAGACCTTGCATTAGCCTTTATTTCCGCCACACATCAATTTCTCCTTTCCTTTCTGCTCAATTTGCCTACGGTTCCTGCCTCCGCCCACGGGAGCTCTGCCGAGCAGAGCCGCGGCACTCCGGTCCCGATGGCATCCCGCGGGCACGGCAGCAAGGCAGCCTCCGCCCGCCCTTCAGCTAAGCATCGCCAGGAATTGATTTCCCGGCGATTAGGGAAATGCCTGCATTTTAGGATGCGCCACAGTGCTTAGGTGTTATTTCTCCGCATCTTCTCCAAGGAAATGCTACACGCTGAATTAAGTTTTTGTGTTTTTGTTCATGCTCAACAGCACCATTGCAAACCCAGATTTCGCCAGCCCCGTCGTGGCAGCGCTGGCGGGGGGCTGCGGGGACAGAGTGGGTTTGGCCACCATGATTGGCATTTGAGGGTCGGAGGGCACTGGCCTCTGAGAGAGGACCTGGGCTGCCCTTGGTGAGAAATGCTTCCTGACAGGCCCTCTTTTATCCTCCCAGGCGTGGGCTGATGCCTTTCGAAGCAGTCCTGACCTCACCGGCGTTGTGCATATATACGAGGAGCTGAAGAGGAAAGGGGTCGAGTTTCCCATGGCAGACTTGGACGCTCTGTCTCCCATACACACACCACAGCGGGTAAGCTTCCAGCTGGCGTTTTCTAGAAAGACCTATTGCAGAACGGGCAGGCCACTGCCACCACCCTTCTGCTGCTCCGTTTGAATTATTCAGCTTGTCATCACGCGTTCTTAAAGCTCGAGGGCATTTCTTTTTAATAACAAGGGGAATGCAGGAGTGAGACGGCTGGTTGACTGGTGATTAAGTGGCAGCAGTGTCTTCCCCCACCCCCGCTCCCAGTTCTCATCTGACTGTGCAAGGAGGATATAACAGAGGGATCGGTTCCGAGATTTTCCTGGAAATGGCTGCTTGGGTGGAGCCAGCCTGTGAGGGCCCATCCCGTGAGGGTCACTACCACCCGCTTTTCCGAGGGCCCAGGAATCTCCCTTTGGGAGTGCCGGAGCACCTCCGTGTCCACGGCAGTGCAGAGGAGCTGGTGACGTCACTGATCATGGGGCAAAGGGCAGCTTTCAGTTTTTCAGACTGTACAAGCCAAATAGATCTAAATTTTATTTTGAACTGAGTGTTCGCTGTGAATCCAGACATGCTTGAATTCCTCCAGCCTTGGAATTCAAAGCCCAGAGAAGGCCTCCTCCCACTGAAGCCTCTTAAAACGTGAGGCAGCTCTGTGCTTCAGAATGAGAAGCACGCAGGTGATGGTGACCGTTCATCCTGGGAAGCGAGTACCTCTACTGGCTGGGAATCAGCGCCTGGCCCCGGTGGGGGAGCCAGGAAGCTCCAGGATCTGGGAGAGAGGCGCCTTGTGCCAGCACACACACTCTGCCTCACTGGCCCCATCTGCCCATCTCCAAAATGGGGACAAGGAGTCCAGAGCGCCTGTGCAGGTCTCTTCTGTGAACACAGTTAACGTTGAGGCTTTCTGAGATGCTCAAAAGGGAAAGGAATTCTGCTTTGCAAAGCTTTGTTCTCATTATGATCCTTCCAAACCACTTACCATGCCTTGTGGAATAAACGTAACCTGTTTTATTTTTCTAATAATGACACAGAACAGCGTTGTTTTGTGCCTATAATTACAAAGAACATTCGGTAAATTGCATAATTGCTATTTATATTAGTCTACTTGTAAAGGCCAAAATATAATCTCCTGGTACCAGATAGGGATGTGTGATTAGCAAAACTTCATAGCAGCCCCCCTCCACTCGGATTCTGGGGGGCCCTAATAACGGGAACCCTGACCAGAGCTCTCATGGAGTGCCCTTGGCACTGCCTTTCTGAGTTGCTTGGTTTGTCTGGGAGGTAAGTAGAGGGAGGAGCCCTTGGTACCCCCCATCTGTGGACGGAGAGACTGGGTGCAGAAGGGGCAGGGATTCCCCGAGCCTCACAGGTGAGCCGTAGAGCCAGGCCCGCTGCCTCCCTGCAGGTGGCTGTGGCGGGAGGGGCTGCCGGGGCGGGTAGGCGCCGGGCCCAGCTGCACGGGCAGCCCAGGTGAACAGAGGACTTTGTTGTTGCCGTGCCAGAGCGTCCCCGAAGTGGATCCGGCCGCGACCATGCCCAGGCCCCAGTCGCAGCAGAGGACGAGTGCCAGCTCCTATTCCTCGCCTCCTCCTGCTCCCTACTCCGCTCCGCAGGCCCCGGCTTTGAGCGTGACTGGCCCCATCACGGCCAATTCAGAACAGGTACTTGCACACTTCCAGGCCATAGGCAAGTCGGCCGACTGTCCTTGCTCGCCCTTCCTGGAGATGTATGGATGCTTTCCCTGACCAGGCATTGTGCTAGTGTCCGCGACCCACAGACGGAAGGGAGGGCCCACCGTGCAGTGGGGAGATGGGTGCAGAGGCTGCGTGGACGGTGTGGTGGTGCGGTTGCGGGAGCAGGAGCTGAGAGTTAGTGCTACCTGGAGGGCAGCCCCGGGAGCCGACGCTGCTGAGGCTCTCGAAGCTGGAGCGGGGCTTGTCTGACAAGGCATGCGCCGGAGGCGTGGAGGAGCGGGGCGCTCGAGGGAGCAGCAGGTGGAGGGTTTGGGGGATCAGTGCAGGTGCAGGATCGGAGAGACAGAGGGTGAGGCCAGCGCACAGCCATGGAGTTGCGTTGTGAACAGCCTCGTGAGTCACGCGGAGCGGTTTGGATTGATCCTGTAAGAGGCGTCAGCCATCAGAGGCCGGTGACCCGCTCAGCAAGGTGCCGTGAGGCCGAGGCCGGGATGAGGAAGGCCCTTAGGAAGCATTCTTCCTGCCTTTATTCCAAACCCTGCCCACCTTCCCTGAGTTATTTCCTGAGAGGCCAATGCCATTGAAATCCCAACCTGGATTTTTTTAGACGAGTCGTGGAGACTAGTATTTAGATGAATCTGTAGAATTGCCATTCAGTAAAATTTGAGAACTGATCAGACTTGAAAAAAGAAAATCCATTCCAGTGTTTGTGACAACGTCATTATTTACGGAAGCCCACGTAGACAGAGGGGTCAAGCGATGAGGCGTGGTTAACCGAAGTGTTGTGCCAGGGTTGCTCACGTTTCCGTTCTCTGGCGGCCCCGAGGAGGCGAGCAGGAGGAGGTGAGCTGGAGGTCAGGCGGGCCTGGACTTGAGTCCCCACTCTGCTCCTCACTGTGAGGCTTCAGCTGGGTCACTTTAACCTCCGTCGACTGTTAGTAGAACGGGGCGGTGGTTCTTCCTCTTACCCACCCCCAGAGTAGGCATGAGCTTGTCGGGCAGCTGGATGGGGCGGCCTCGTGATAGTCCCCCCGAGTGCCGCATGCCCTTTTGAGGAGAGGAGGTCGAAACCCATAGCTAAAACACGGGCTGTACAGTAACGTGCTATTCTGTTCACTCCATTCTGCCCTTTCTCGCTACTCACAGTGGCCAGGACCTGTCCCCAGAAGGGAAGCCCTGGGGAAGAGGGTCCCTGGCGGCAGGCTCTGCTGCTACGGGCAAAACTGTGTCCCTTTCTGCCCAGAGGGAAGTCTGACATGTCTGGAGTTGGATGGTCACTGAGACCCTCCACTGACTCTTTGTCGGTTGCGTGGGAGCTTGGGAAGAGCCCTGCCAGCAGCCAGAACAGTCTGGAGAAGGGGGAGAGTGGAAGAGCAGCCTGGCTTTGAAGACCCTTCTGATCCCATGTGGTGTCTGTTGCATTCCTGAGCTTCCAGGGTCAGAAAGCTCTTCTGGCTAAGACTGGGGAGGACCTCGCCCACTGGGCGGAACCGGAGGGGAGAAGAGCCTCTAGGGATCTCACCCAGTGCTCTCATTGACCATTTGTCCATTTTCCATCCAGTACATATTTATCGAAGTCTCCTGTCGCTATCCCTGTGCTCGGAGTGCAGACCTCAACTCAGCAGAGTCCCTGTCCCCAGGAGGTCAGCCAGGACAGGGGCGGGGGTCTGCGGTAGGAGGTGCGCTGCTTGGTTCTGCCTCAGGGAGGGCAGGGGAGAGTCAGAAAAGGCTTCAGTGGGGCGCCTGGGTGGCGCAGTCGGTTAAGCGTCCGACTTCAGCCAGGTCACGATCTCGCGGTCC